AGGAACTTCCTGAAATGAATCGTGAACGAACGTGAAATTCTAATATTCATCCGTGAGCTTATTTATCTGTGCTCTCCCTTGGTTCCTGTTAGCATAGATTTCCATGGAGTAATCATATTAGTGGCTACTGACTAGATTAGCTCTCATAGATAAACAGGAAATGGTAGGGATATCTTTTCTCATTCGGATTTATTTCCAGTCTGTGTAGCAAATTCATTATCATTACTTAGCAGTTATATGGGATTTTACAGCTGCGTGTAGTTCTTATAATTGATTTCTGCTCATGTGGTGCAGGTTTCTGCTTTCAGAAATTCTGATCTGTGTGGGAAGTTTGGATTTGATTTGCATTGTTGATCCATTAATTGAGTCAAAAATATTTATTGAACGCTAAGTGCTACAGGAGCATCCATGCTTAATGAGTGATGTGATGGTTAAGAGCACGGACTCTGGACTCAGACTGTCGGGGGTTCAAAGCCAGGCTCTGCTGCTTACTAGCTGGTAACCTTGGGCAAGTTACTGAGCCTCTCCCTGCCTCGTCTGCAGAATGAAGGTGATAATGGCACCTGTACATGGCCGTTGTGAGCACGGAGTTGACATGTCACAGACACAGAATGTATGTCAAATGCTCGCAGCAGACTCTCGCACACAGTAAGCATCCGTATGCGCTGGCCATTACTATTAACACTACTCCTACTACAAGGAGGAACGGATATGGCCGCTGTCTGCAAGGAACAGACAACAAACGGGAAATTCAATGCCTCGTGCTAAGAGCTGAGCTGTTGCGTCGCGAACGCAGGGTGTGCTGGAGGCGTCTACCCTGGCTGGGCGGATGGGTGGCCGTGTGGCTTCCCAGAAGGAGATGATGCCTGAGCTAATGAGTGTACTTAAATCCGTGCACGATTTAGTGATTCTCTCCCCCTGCCCCCGTCCTTTTCGATAAACGCGAGTGGGGAAGCTTTGGAAATGATTTTGTATGTAAATTTGTGTTCGTTTTCAGCACATGCTTTTAGGAACAGATTTAAGATGAGGTCCATCTGTGTTTGTCCAATACTGTGGATAACATTGTTTCTGTTGTCTGTTTCTGCGCACGATGTACCAAACTGCACCAGAACTTGGTAACTTAAAACAATCATTTGTTTTGCTCATGATTTTGTGGGTTTGGGAGTTGGGGCGGGTTCTGCGGTGCAGTTCCTTCCTGATCTACAGGGGGACGGCGGGGGCTGGGGGACCCATTTCCAAGATGGCTTCTTCCAAAGGTGCCCGGTGGCCCAGGGCCGCTCCTCCTCCTCCTCCCCACCCCGTCCTCCAGGGCCTCTCTGTGTGGCTCGTGCTCCTCCCGGCAGTGGTCTCTGGGTGGCAGTCGTGCTCCTTGTCTGGTGTGTGGCTTCCAAGACACAAGAAGCTGAGGCCACCAGAAATGGCCCTTCCTGGAGATGGCCCCACGTCACTGCCACCGTTTTCTGTGGTCAGAGCAGGCGCCGTCCAGATCGGGGGGTGAGAAATGGACTCCACCTCCCGATGGGAAGAGGGGCAAGGTCATGTTACTGGGAGCACGTGGGACACAACAAATGTCACCCGTGGTTCGGTCATTCAGAATAAAAGCCCTTCAGGAAGGACAGCAAACACGAACACGCTGAATCAGGAAAGCAAGGCCCAGGCCAGCGATGGGCCAACCGAGTCCCGGCAGAATGTGGCCCGTCCCCTCGTGCGAGGCTTGCAGGCTGGCATTCACAAGGGGAAGATAAAGATCCTCTCTTTCAAGCCTTCGGAGAAGTGGAAGGAGCCGAGAGGAGCAAAGCGACCTGCCCAAGCTGGCGGCGGAAGAGCGGGACTGGAGCCAGGCTGCCCGACCCTGGTCTGGACTGGTTTCCGCCGCGTGGTGCTGGCGCTCACTGCCCCGGCCCTGGCTGTCCCTTTTGCCTGCTAGCCCAGAGGACAGCTTTTGTGTTTCTAAAGCTGCTTCCCCCCTTTTATTTGCCAGTATGGCCAAGCACGATGCTGCGTTCCTGGCAGAACCACGGCCTCCTTTCCCTTGTTAGCCTCTGGTCACTACACTTGCCTGGGTGAGCGGTTCAGGAGTTGGCAGCCATGTGTGAGCCCCAAAACGAGACGCCCTGTTGTCCAGCCGCTGGCAGCTGCACCCTGCGGTAGACAGGTGCCTGCAAAGGCTACTTGAGGAAAGGCAGACGTCCCTCCTCCCCTTGAAGGACGGAGGCAGGAAGCAGGGGAGGTGATGGACGTTAGCCAGCGGCAGCAGTGGTCGTCCCAGGAGGGTTGGGGCAGTAGGTGCGTGAACCCGACCTGGAGGGATCCTGGCAGAGAATTCTGGGCCATGAATTGCCGCAGCACTGAGCAGCCTCAGGCCGAAGCAGCCACAGTATGTTCATCCAGCAAGTCGCAATTTTAAAAGGCAAGTGACTCGACTAAATATTTTGAGCTTTTCTGAAGCATCACTTCCTAGAGTTTAAGGAAAAGGGGTGGTGGCCGGGCGCGGTTCACGCCTGCAATCCCAGCACCCTGGGAGGCTGAGGCAAGAAGATCGCTTGAGGTCAGACGGCCTGAGCAAGAGTGATACCCTGTCTCTACCAAAAATGGAAAAATTAGCCAGGTGTGGTGCATGCCTGTAGTCCCAGCTACTCGGGAGGC